GTGCAGGAAGCCGAGTGCTGCCTGTCACACCCCCTGGTCACACCCCCATGGCTACGCCCCCATGGCCACCCCCACCCAGCCGGTCATTAGGGCAGCAAGCCGGTTATTAAATTATTTGAATCCCACCACTGGTGTATATATTTTGTGATGTAAGGAGTCTAGTTTAGTTTGGCAAGATTCTGTCTGTGGGTAAGGAATGATAAAGGAAAACTTCAGTTTAATGAGTGATTTGTAATATAAAGGGTTGTCCTCTTGACCATCTTATTTTGAAGTGTACTAAACATTAGCAAAAAAAGTCCTTTTTAAAATAAACAAATTATGTAGTCTCCAATGGCTTTGTTCAGAAGTCTTGTTAAACTTATTGGCAATCAAAATAATGATATACGTCGGAAGAAATGTAATTAAATTATTGGCCCGTGGATGCATTCAGTTGTTAAAGTCTGTCCTTTGCAGCAGAGACTTCAAAAACAACACAGGAAATAAATTACCGGATTTTATCAAAATATATATATATATATTTTTTTTGAAAATACATTTAATTTGTTCATTCGCTTACATTGCGGCTATACTATTTTTCCCGGATGTCAAATTAAAAATAATTCTGTAGCAATATTGCATATAAAAACCGAGCATCTCATTCAATCCTGGAAAAAAAAAATCCCAATTCATCACATGGACAGTTATAATAATCCAGTTGCTGTAGCCTGCTGCAGTAATTGGGATTCCCCCCCCCCTCACACACACACACACCAATTTATTTTATTCTAGTATCTAATTTGTATAATTATGTGGTGTATAATTGGGTCTATAAATGTCCTGGGAGGAAGGATTTAGCACACTGATTTTTGCATGGGGTATATATAGAATTGGGACCGGTTCATTTCGAATGACTCTTGGCTTGCTCATATGCAAGAAAGGAACACCAGCTGATTTGGTTAAGCGGGGAGGGAGACCAGCAAATAATTAAAAATTATGACGGCAAATATAAATATCCCAGGATAATGCCGCAGGATCTAATCTGGGTCAGTTACTGGAACCAGAGGTTTACTCTTCCGACTCACCCTGGAGTCCAACTGCCAAAATGTGTGCTTTGAGCTATTTTGTGTGTGGTATTGATGTGGTGCCTGGTTGTGTGTGGCTTTTTAATACTTGATTGGGGTGTTGATGGCCAACTATTAAGTCATGGACTGTTGTTTCCTTGTTCTGCAAAGTTTTTGTTCCCTAAGTACTTGATAAGCTGGTTGTAAATCAGCACTCCTGTGGGCTGACGTTTCCCAGGCTTCAATCACTTCTCTGGTTGTTTTTGTCCCTGCTCGTCCGACAATCTTAGTAGCTGCAAAATTGAATGTATGTCTTTGTTCATTGGGTCGCCTCGTCTGACCGCTCGCTTGTGTTCTTGTAGTCTGATGGTTAGCTTCCTCCCCGTCTGTTTTACATAGTCTCACAGGGGCAATCCATGTAGGGCATACGGTAGATTACACTGGAACTATCTCCCACCTCCAGTTCCCTCCCTACTAAATGAAAGTTGGTAGGGAGGGAACCAGCGGTGGGTTTCACATTTTGTTAACACAGGTTTGCCGCATGCGCTCCTGCTTTGCAGGCAAGCGTGCCCCATCCACGCATGCGCCCACCCTTCCGTGCATGCACTTTGCTCACACACAAACCTTCCGCGCATGCGCTCGGCCTCAAAAACATGTCTAAATAGGGTGGGCGGACCCATGATTTCTGCTACCAGTTTGGGCGAACCAGTCCGAACCGGCTGAGTACATTTATTTATTTATTGCTTCTCAACTAATGGTCAGCACTTCTTAGGAGTTAGGTAAGAGTCAACACAATTCAAGGAAGATTGGACTTCTTATTCCACTTGTGGCTACGTAGGGATTCTAAGCTGATTCCTCTTTTGACTCCACCCCCAGGTTCTGCCACTCCTTCTCCTATACCTCCGCTTTCTCATGAGTCCTTTGGGTCATCCACTGGCATAGATTATGTCCTGAATCCTTGTCTGTCTAGGATTTGAGACACAATTCCTCTGTGGAATGGGCTGACCTAGGCTTCCCCAGCAGCACGAANTCAGCGATTCAGAGCATCCGTAGAAAATTATTCAAGTGCAGTCATGAAAAAGAAAATCTGATTCATTGCGTTTAAAGTTTTTTTTTTTAAAAAAAATGCTTAAACCTCTACCTGATGTTCTCTCTTTTTTTTTTTTTTAGTGAAAGCTAGCAGTGTAAAAACAATTTGGCTAGAACCATGTTTTATTAGAATTATTTAACAAAAAAAATATATATTTAAGACATCTATACAATTTAACATCCAGTCTGACAAAGAGGATAAAAGAGAGAGAGAGAGAAAGCGCGCAAAACTCAAGACCAAAATACAAAAAAATAATAATTAAAAAGTGCACTATTCAATCCAGTATTTTCGTTTTGTCGTTTGTAACCATGTATGGGGGAAAAAAAAATCAGAATTAATATCACCGTTTGCACACCTGTCCCTAAACCGAATGTCACACATCCCTTGTCTGGGGTTGGAAGGAAATTTCTTGACTTTAGTCAGTTGAAAATAAATCCCATTAAATTTCAAATGGGATTTTACACCAAATTCAGGACTGCAGGCTCCCTGTTGAAGAGAGAGAGACAAACTTGGCAATTTTTTTTTCAACAATAAATTACTCATTATTTGGCATCCTGTGAATATTTTATCTCCTCCTCCTTAAATAAAGTTTTGCATTTATAGAAGTCATGTATCAGACCATTTCGGTGGTTGCATAAATTGGGTGGATGCACACAAAAAATCGGACTTTTAATGACAGAACAACTGAGAGTGGGCTTTCCCCCCCCGGAGTTGTGAGCGAGTTATCCTGATTAAAACTTCCAAACAGGACAATTTTTCACGATAAAACTTAAGGCCATGTTTTATTTGCTGATCAATGGACAAAAAAAAGAAGGCAGTGAATTTTCTTCCCCATCCCACCCCGGTTATTTCCTTGAAAGTCTGTGCTCGTAAAAATCACGAAAAAGTTGGAAAGACGGAAATATTGAAACTTTTTAAATATATTTTACACAATCTCCGTTTTGTACAAAAATACAAGTTAATTATAAACATAAAGCGATGATATTATTCGGTAAATTTTCTTTTGCGATATGCTACTATATATATCTATATATCTATATATATCTATATCTATAGATATATATAGATATATTCATTTATTTATAAAACATCTCATCACTGTTCTCATTGAGATCCGGACTGGATTGATTCACGACTAGCAAAGGGCTCTAGAATTACAAGGTTTCCGGCTGTAAATATTTCAATTTTAGACTGGCCAAAAATTAAAAGGAAAAACATAATAGGGCATTGATGTCCATAAACCAACAAATAATTTGGCTAGGAGGTGGCAAATACAAACACACAGATCTCTACAAGAAACCAATTATCAGTACATAATTGTTGCACATATACCAACATGGAATGAAACTTTAGTGAGACGCCGCGGAAAATTCATTTGTCTTCAACTTGGCATTTTGTCTGATTTCGTCGAAGGAGTACTTCTTCGTTACTACGCCGTTTTTAAACACCGTGTGAAGGAAATCCTACAAAATAAACACCATTTGTTATGACGTTAGTAAAAAAATAATAATACAGCCATCTACCCAAAAAATTAAGTGACTTAAAATAAGCCGCTAGAGCAGGGGTGTCAAACTCAATTTCATTGAAGGCCGCATCAGAGTTGTGTTTGACCTTGGAGGGACGAGGTGGGCGTGGCCAGTTTGACGTCACTCGTGTCGGGGGGGGGGGCTGTGGTGGCCCAAGTGCTCTGTCAGTGAAAACGGGCTCCTGAGCTCAGTTTTCAGCTGCAACGACCTCCTGTAATCCTCTGCCAGCAAAAACAGAGCTAAGGAGTTAGACGTTCTACTCTCCCTCCCCACCTGAAAGGAACTCTGTTCCAACTACCAGTTGCCTTATATGGGCTTGGCCAGCACATGACTCATCCGGTCTGCGGATGATTATTTACTAGCTGGATACCCGGGCTTTGCTACGAAACCATGTGATTGGGCCAGCCCGCAGGCCGGATGAGTCATGTGCTGGCCAAGCCCATATAAGGCAACTGGCAGTTGGAACAGAGTTCCTTTCAGGTGGGGAGGGTGAGTAGAACATCTAACTCTTTAGCATCGACGCGTGTTAATATAATACTGTATAAGAAATACTGATGATCTGATGGTCATTTCGAAAAATCCTTTCTTAGCGAGCACCTAGAAGCCAAGAGGAACATACATGCCAAATTTCAAGCTTGTAGGCTTTACGGTTCTGGAGATTTTGTGATGAGTGAGTGGTATTTAGCTTTTATATATATAAATTAAAATTTCCTGCCACTCATCTCTGCTACAAGGTGACCCTGGGCAGCTTACCAGTTATGGGAGAATGCAAGCCTGTTTGTGTTTCTGCTCTAAAACCCCATCACAAGGTATTTATCCATATTATTCTGACCTAGGCTTCCCAAGAACAAGAAGCAAACTCCTTCCTCCTTTAATAAAAAACCCCTTTTATTAATTGACTGTGAATTCTTCTCATTCCCATCCAGCAAAGTCTTTCAAGGGAGGATTTATAGTCAC